ACTGAAACATGCGCAATACTATAATATTAAATGAGAGTATAAGATTCAGTTTATAAAAGTAAAACAACTCACTTTTTCTTTATTTTTTCGATGTGAGATTGTAATTATTTTAAAGTTAAATATTATGAGAGTTTAAAATCTTATGCAAAATTATTTTTAAAATCAAAATGTTTATGTAGGATTGTACAATAAAAGTTAAACAGAAGTTAACCAATGGAGATTTTCTTAATTATTTAAAATTAAGAAAATCAAAAAAATTGATATTGATTATAGGGTTTCTTACTAATTTTTTTTTTTACTTATATAAATGGAAGCATAAGATTCACTTTATATAAGTGAAACAATTCACTTTTTTTTTCTTTTCTTGATGTGAGAGTGTAAAATAAAAGTTAAATGGATATGCATATTAGATTGCAGATTGAAACTGTGTTTACAAAAGCACATTCACATTGCACCTTCACATAGCACGGGTGTTATGCTAGGAGTATTATACATGTGTTCTTAAACATACAAACAAAAAAAATTGATATTGATTATAGAGCTTCTCACTAAAAATCTTCTTTTGCTTATATAAATAGAAGCATAAGATTCACTTTATATAAGTAAAACAATTTACTTTTTCATTTTTTTCCCAATGTGGGATTATAAAATAAAAATTAAATGGAAGCTAACTAATGAGGATTTACTTAATTGTTTAAAATTAAGAAATTTCAATAATTTATACAAATTGGAGCATAAGATTCATTTTATGTAAATGAAACAATTCACTTTTTCCTTCCCTCCCCCCCCCTTTCTTTCCCCGATTTGAGATTGTAAAATAAAAGATAAATGGAAACTAGTCAATGAGAATTTTTTTAATTGTTTTTAAAATCAACACGTTTATGTAGAATTGTACAATAAAAGTTAAATAGAAGCTAACCAATAGAGATTTCTTAATTGTTTAAAATTAAGAAAATAAAAAAAATTGGTATTGATTATAGAGTTTCTCACTAAAAATCTTCTTTTGTTTATATAAATGAGAGTATAAGATTCATTTTAGATAAGTGAAATAATTTACTTTTCCCTTCTTTTCCTGATGTGAGATTGTAAAATAAAAATTAAATGGATATACACATTGAATTGCTGATTGAAGCTGTGTTTACAAAAGCACCTTCACAATGCACCTTCACGTAGCACGGGTGATATGTTAGGAATATTGTACACATGTTCTTAAACACCAAAAAAAATAATAATAATAATAATAATAAATAAATAAAATAAAATAAAAAAATTGTGTTGATTATAGGGTTTTTTCATTAAAAATCTTCTTTTACTTATATAAATGAGAGCATAAGATTCAGTTTATATAAGTGAAACAATTCACTTTTTCTTTCTTTTCCTGATGTGGGATTGTAAAATAAAAGTTAATGGAAGATAACCATTGGGGGTTTTCTTAATTGTTTAAAATTAAGAAATTTCAATAATTTATATAAATTAAAGTATAAGATTCATTTTATGTAAATAAAACAATTCACTTATTCCTTTTCTTTTTTTTTTTTCTTCGATTTGGAATTGTAAAATAAAAGGTAAATGAAAGCTAACCAATGAGAATTTTCTTAATTGTTTAAAATTAAGAAAATTCAATAATTTTAGAATGAGTTTTTGGACTTTCTAGAAGGCTTCTCCTTTAAAACTCCCTTTATAAGATTCATTTTATATAAGTGAAATAACTAATTTTTTCTTTTTTTTTTCTTATGTAGGATTGTATATATAAGTGAAACAACTACCTTTTTCTTACTTTTCTCGATGTGAAATTGTAATTATTTTAAAGTTAAATATTATGAGAGTTTCAAAATCTCATACAAAATTATTTTTAAAATCAAAACTATGTAGGATTGTAAAATAAAAGTTAAATAAAAGCTAGCTAATGAGGATTTTCTTAATTGTTTAAAATTAAGAAGAAAAAAAAATGAGTATGAGATATTAATCATAGGGCTTCTTACTAAAAATCTCCTTTTACTTATATAAATGAGAGTATAAGATTCACTTTATGTAAGTGAAACAATTTATTTTTTCTTTCTTTATCCGGTGTGAGATTGTAAAATAAAAGGTAAATGGAAGCTAACCAATGAGAATTAGAGTGACATAGTTTAGGTTGATGAATTTATCATACTCGATCATTTTATAAACTCATATGCATATTAAAAAAGATAAATCAAATTCATTCTAAAGTAATATTAATGTGATTTCAATGTATTTATCTTTAATAAAAATATATTATCTATTTATAAAATTATATATGTTATTTATTTTAAAAAATTAAATATAATAAAATTACGTGATTATAAATGGTAGTCTCGCTCAAAGTAAATCAGACTTTAATTTGTTCAAAATGTTGCTAATAAAAACTGAAAATAAATCAAAATCAATCAACTGACCTCTTTTCCTCTCCGACACATGCCTTGTTACATTATCATCCACATCATTATAATCGTGGAATTAACTTGCATCATTGCATTTGGAGCAAAATATTGTTTTAAAAATATAATTAATTGTAGTCATACAAGCAAGATGGACCTAATTGGGGGAGATGGGTGATGGCCTCCAAATTTCGAAACCTTTTCATTATAATAATAAGGGCAAATTACAAACACCTCCCTCGAGGTTTGATAAAAATACAGATTCCTCCCTGAGGTTTGAAAAATTACAAATTACCCCATGAGGGTCAAATTTTCATAACAAATTAGGGGAAATTAGGGGAGAATCTATATGAAAATAAAAATCTCATGGAGCAATTTGTTATGAAAATATAAACCTCAGGGGGCAGAATGTAATTTCTCAAACCTCAAGGGAGAATCTGTATTTTCACCAAACCTCGAGGGGGGTGTTTGTAATTTGCCCTAATAATAATAACATTAATTATTAAAAAAAGCCTTTAAATTATATAAGTTGACCTCCGATTAGATTAGAGAGACATATTTTCATCGTACAGTTTGGTGAACTATTAATATAAATTATGATAAAAGCCTTCAACCTAAACTATCCCAACCTAAACAATTTACTTTTTTCTTCTTTTCCCGATGTGATATTATCAAATAAAAGTTAGTCAACGGAGATTTTCTTAATTGTTTAAAATTAAGAAAATCAAGAAAATTACATTGTCATCCACATAGTCATAATCGTGGAATTAACTTGCATCATTGCATTTGGAGTAAAATATTATTTTAAAATATAATTAATTGTACTCATGCAAGCAAGATGGACCCAATTGGGGGAGACACGACCTCCAAATTTCGAAATCCTTTTATTATAATAATAACAATAACATTAATTATTAAAAAAAGCCTTTAAATTATATAAGTTGGGCCTTCTATTAGAGATGCATATTTTCACCATACAGTTTGGTGAACCATTAACCTAAACTAGTGTTTTCAATTTGTTTAGATATTCTGTTAGTATTTTCAATTGAAAAAAAGTTTAAATATTCTGTTGAAAGAGAGTTTTTAACTTGAATATATTTTTTGAATTGAAAAAAATAAATGTATTATTTATTTATATTTCTCGGCTTTTAAATCTAACTCTAAAAATAATAAATAAAAAAGATGATATATACTGGTTGGTTTTTGTTTTCAAAAATAGATATAGATGTAACAATACGGAAGCATACAATCTCTACTTTTGATCTGTTCATGATTTTAGTGGTTTGAATTGTTTTAATATTTTAAGAACCACAAATTATAATACTTTATGTGGATGAAGCATGTTGTGATCGTAATATGTGGATGGAGCATGCAATAATTATAATATTATAAAATTTCAAACTTTCTTTCTTTAGATGAGGCATGTAGTGATTGTAATACTTTTTTAATTCATTGACTGGAATACTTTTTTTTTTTTTTTTGAGGAAGTGCATAAGTTGAATTATGTTAAAAATTTATAAAATTTTAAACCGCCAAACTGATTCGCATCCATCTGCTAATCCACTCAATCCACATTCGTCGGATTGGCAGACGAATGCGGATTGATTTTCTCCAATCTGCCAATCTGGTGGATGAATGGTGGATTGAAAGTTCTGTGACCACAATCGATCTTCGCCCACCCCTAATAAAAACTCCCAACGTAAACTATTCCAACCTAAACAATTTACTTTTTCCTTCTTTTCTCGACATAAGATTATTAAATAAAAGTTAGTCAATGGAGATTTTCTTAATTTTTTAAAATTAAGAAAATCAAGAAAATCAGTATGAGGTATTGAAACTTTCACAAGGCTCCTTACTAAATGGGAGGAGAGTATAAGATTCTCTTTATATAAGTAAAATAATTTTTTTATTTTTTCTTTTCTTGATGTGGAATTATAAAAAAAAAGTAATTATTTAAAATTAAGAAAATTAAAAAAATTATAATGAGAATTTGGAACTTATAAAAAATTTCTCACTAAAAAATTCCTTTTTCTTATATAATATATAGATATAGATACATTGCAATGTATTTTCGTTCTAAAAAAAAAAAGTACTAGTGAGGAAGAGTAGATGGACGTGTGCCCGTTTTTGTTAAGAACGTACACAATGCCTCTGTCTAGCATGTGAAGGAGTTGTGACCGGCTCCCTTCTCTCTCTCATCTACAATCTACACATATGCATACATCCATATACATACATGACAAGCCCACAAAAACCCAACTTAACTGGCTGGTTTGATAAGATTCATCCACACACACAGCCCAATGGGGTGGTGAGTCATGACAAAACTAGTCTAGGATTTCAATCTCATTTTCCTTGGCTTTTTCTTCTCCCGACAATATTAGGTGCACAGAATCAAAAAAAAAAAAAAAAAAAAAAAAAAAAAAAAAAAAAAAAAAAAAAAAAAAAGCAAAAAAATCATAAAAAAATAAAATAAAAAAGATTGTGTAATTGAATATCCATAAAAGAAATCTCAGTCATATAATATATTTTTTGTACACTTTATATAGCATTAGTCTGTTTCTTTCACACTTCACTCTTCTATATCCTACTATGCTCAACTCTCTAAATATATAGGCATAGACACAAACCCCTTTTACTAGAAAGAGAGTGTGTGCTCAAAATCTCTTTATTAACTAAAGCTCCCTTCTTCATAACAAGAGGCCTATACAAAGAGAACCTAGTTTGGGGGGGGGGTGTTGGTTGGGTGTTTTCAAAAAACCAAAGAATTGTTTTTGAAAAATAATGAATAATATGTTGCCTTCTTCAGAGTGTAGTAGTGGTTGTGAGTCTGGATGGACTCTATACTTAGAACACTCTTTTCTTTCTTCAAATCCATCAAATAGAAACAATAATGAGTTTGTTGATGGAAAGGGCATTTACAGCAAAGGAAAGAGATCACTGAAGAATGAGGATGAAGAAGAGGACTTATCCATGGTCTCAGATGCTTCCTCTGGGCCTCAAAATTTTCATGAGGATGAATATTATGGAAATGGCAGTAATGGGTGTTTGAATAATGCACCAATTGATGCCACATTGCGAAAGAAGAGTGGGAAGAGGAAGAAAAACAGAGAAAATCCGAGTCGAAAGGTTCAAGAACATCCTTCTTTCCTTGATGATACTGCTAGCTCTACTGTCTTCAACTTCTCCCAGGTAAATTCAAAGAGTTATGATGTGCAAATAGAATTTTAAATTTCTATACAGAAAGATGTGACTGTCTGTGCTCCTTTCATTCCTTTCAAAAACTTCATTATTATGATTTATAATTAAAAAAATGCCATTGTCACGTCATTCTGGATGATGCTTTTGTAGAAATCATTTTCCAAACTCAAAACAACAACAATTGAACAACGTGTGAGAAACAAATTGCTTTGTTGAACTAACCATTTGTTGTTCTTGGAAATAACTATAGTTGTTCTTGAGTTTTGACAGAGAAATTTCACTCACCAACAACCAAGCTTCAAAGGAGAACATGTCATCATCAGGCTTTTCACAAGAGGGCTCTGCAACCCATTTTGGGGTATTGTCCTTAATTTCTTTGATCCAAGTATTTGATCAGAGCATGTTTATTTACCAAACCATGGATTTTTTGCAGGGGAGATCTGAATTCCATGAGCTTTTCGGTTTCTTCCAGACTTAGCTATCTGGAAACCATCTGCAGCAAAACCAGTTAAGTTTGTGTTTCCACTTCTTGTGCTTACAAAGTTTTAATAATTCTACAGACACAACATTAATCATAGAACCGGCCACGAAAATATAAGTTGAGCATTTTCAGTGAAACAGCCTCTTTAGTGACATGTCTCACTTACTAAGTATTACCACAGTTATTTTCTGTGGTTGGTTCGTAGAATTATTTATTCATTTATTTTTTATAGAAAAAATGCTTAAGAGGTGATATCTTGGGTTGTTTTACTTAATTTTGTAATTAACTTTCAAGCTTTTTGCAGATGGTTTGGTGGCAAGATGGGATGAGATGAAGACCATTGTAGAACTTGTTTATGTTAGCCTGATACATATTGTTGGGCCATTTCCGAACAGTTTAAGCTTTTGGAACAGTCAGTGATCATGTATTAGAGTTTTGGGTTCAAAAGATCTTATGTTCAGATCTTGTCTTCCCTTCTATCTTTTTGATTGTGCACCTTGTTCTTTCCGTGAGAGAGGGTTGTCAAAACAGAAGGAATTCGATCTCAAAAGGGGTCTTGTTCCTTTTCCATTTCTTTATCTTATATTATTGTTACTTTTATGCAAATGACTTGATATATTTGGAGAATTAATAAGGGAGTTAACGCTGTGTTTGGTTGAGGGATTTAGGGAGAAATCTGGAAAGAGAAAGGAAAGAAGTGTGTAAAATTAGATGAAATGTAGGTATATTTTATTCACATTTCACCTACTATTTCTATTTCCTTTTTTAAATCTCTCCTCAAGTCCCTTAACCAAACACAGTATAAATAAACACATTTTCTCTCTTCGAACAAGATAAATCATGTTATTTGTTGTCGCAAAAATGCTTGGTCAACAATTATATCACCAGGAAATGACTAGGTGACAAGCCATGAAAAGATAGAAGAATTTTTTTATTGTGTATGAAATATTATTTATTTATTTATTATTACTAAATTGATTAGACAAATTAAAGAAGGTACTTATACATACTTCTACTAAAATAAGCAATTAGGTATGGAGTAGAAGTGATTCCTCCACAAGAATTATGGTCATAATAATGAATCAAATAGAGACAAGACCTCAATATCTATATAGAGAAGCTCTCTATCTGTGTTTGGAGAACAAAATCTTCAAAATGGTTTTGGCTCTAATACAGACGAGACCAGATCCCAATTGTCTCTGAGTGTCCAGACAGGACTCCATTTTGGTGGTCATACTTCTAGGTTAAATTATATTATTATTATTAATCTTATAATTGAAATACAAAATTAATTTATATAATTTTAATTTTAATTGTATTTCAATATGATGATAAGGGTGTAATGGGGTGATGGGCAGTCAAAAATCAGTGTACTGAGGTGAGGAAATACCAAAGTTAATGTTGGAATAATATTACTATGAAACATGCTATAGAAAGTAATAAATTATACAAATTATTTTTATTAATAGATGTGACACACATCAATCAAACTTTAAAATTTAAGACAGAATTTACTTGAGTAGTTCGATTGAAACAACTCATATAAGTATGAAAATTTTAAAATTTATTTGTTTAAATAGCATTACTTTATTATTATATATTGGATTTATTTATGTAGAGGGTATGTTTGGTTCGAGTTTTAGAAATGAGTTTTAAAAAAAAATTTCAAAAAATTGTATGGTTTGAAATTTTTTTCAAAAAATTTCCAAAATCACTTTCTCTCTCTTACACATCAATCAATCACTTTTTCTCTCTCTCCTCTCTCATTCTCAATCATTTTTTCTCTCACACACATCTACTCAATTACAATAAAATATCAAATCATCCCAAACTCCCAAACTCCAAAACTACTTTCAAAATATACAACTAAACAAACCAAAAAAATTTCTAAACTCTCTCTCCAAATTTTTTTTCAAAAACAACTCTTCCAAAAATAAACCAAACAAGCCCTAAATATTTGTAATCAATTACAAATCACATGTATAAATTAGTGACAGACATAAAATTGGAAAGTGTGAAATCTCGTCTTCTATTCTAGTGGACATGGACTACTCGTGTGGATTAAGTATAAAATATTTTCATATTTCATATACATCTTTATAACTTTTTAAGTATAAAATATTTTCATATTTCATATACATCTTTATAACTTTTTAATTTTAATTTTTGTTCTTTTTAATTTTTAATTTTAATTTTTATTGTTGTTGTTGGTGTTATTGTGGTTGTTGTAAGTTGAGAGACCATGCTTAAGATCTTCCTGAACCAAGGCATGGAACATGCCCCATTAAGTTCAATATATGGTCTCTTTTGGAAGGATCATAATATTCAAATAATTTAAATAATTTTACTGTTCATATTTTGCCCCCCTCTCCCCAAACATTGTCTGCTTTGAAGCTATCATTGGAGTTGATGTCATGCTCAATTATGTGTTTTGGCCCTCATTGATTTATTCATTAATTATCCCAATCAATTCCACCTCTTGTGGAAAATTTGTTTGTTTGTTTGTTTGTTTGTTTTTTTTTTTTTTTTCTAAGAGTCAAATTTTGTAAATAAAAAGATAAGCATGCTCAAATCTATTTACAATGTCAAAAATTCTAAGATCCACCTAGTTGTTCTTTCTCATTTTCAAGAGTCTTCAATGTCGTCAAAAAAACTTGCGAAAGCAAAAAAAAAAAGAAAGAAAAAAATGCCCAAAGGCAAACTAAATAAATCATCTGTGTTTGATAATAGTTAAAAATTGAGTTACAGGCCTTTTAGACTATTCAGTTGTTTTTAAGTAATAAAATTTTAGAAAAGCTGTTCTTTATTGTTCCTCATATTTTTGTTCATTCCACATGCTTCCTCTGCATCACAAAGGCATGTGGTATGCAAGCGTAAGAGTGCTGCCACGATCTATTGAGATTTGGCCTTAGATCTCGCACCCTGTGTGGTTCTACAGGGGAATGAATCTAACTTGAGTATGACAGATTGGTTCCCGGGTTGCCCATGCCATGATATTAGATTTGGAAGATTTAGTGAAACTGCAAATGATGATGACAGGGTTTGAAATGGGGACTGAATGTATTCTGTTCTTTGCAGTTTGTGATATTCGGAAAAAAATAATAATAATAAAATAAAAAAATCACATTTACAAATTTTTAATGTCGATCCACAACTCTATCAACACAGCTGGCACCCACCCATGATAGAGTTCAATGAACTTAGAAACTTTATGACAAACAAAATTGAAAAAAAGAAATGGACAGGACCACAGAGGTTGGTCTGATTATTGAAGCACAAGAAGGGGTGGGGAACCTGATTATGTTAAGAGGTACAGGGTGGTGGACATAGAGAGAAAAAAGGCTCATAATGCATGGGCACCCAGATGGCTCCAAAATCTCACGATAAAGGAGTTGAGAAAACTTCATTCAGATCAATCAATACAAGCCCAAGAATGTTTTCTAAATATATCTCTCTGTTAAGTATATAGTGATGTGGTGTTTATCACATGAAGAAAAAAAGTTGGGATTGTCATTGTCATTAAGAGGGAATAGAGATAACTTCTAAACCATCTTTCTCTGAAAATCATAATGTTGGTCCATTTTTTTTATTTTTTTATTTTATCGAATACTCCATGGATATGAGATTGATTTAATAGTGAAAATATTGATATTTGAAAGGAGATTCATTTAAATTAAGTAAATGGAAATGAGGTCACATCAATATGTGAAAAGGCAAGCTAAAATCACATTTCATGTTTTGTGTATCCTAAATGACAACATGAAGAAGATTTTTTAAATGATATTTCTACTGCTTCTTCATTCCTCCAACTTCCAAAGCTCCTTCCATACATAAAATTAGAGCTTGATTTCTGCTACAACAATTACGGCATCGTTCACCAGGAAGCCCTTTGATGTGTCATTGAGGTCGCTTAGGGACAAGAAGTCTCTATACCATAGCCAATGCCTGAAGGAATGAACCATCTTTTGGTAACTGCCAAAAGAACAAAACCATAATTAATGTTGAAGAACACAAATTTAAATGCAACTACATCAAGCATATTTGTATAGATGAAATGAAAATAGATCATCATCAATGACTACTACATCTAGTCACAATATTTTCTTTATTATTTCAGCTGCTTGCTGCATTGATAACAGATATACGAGTGATGGGTCTATCAAACTAATGCAATTATGACATATGAAATGATAAGAAAAATATGCTTTACAAATGTGGTCATGTTATCGTAACATTATTGAAAACAAATTCTACTAAAAACATGGAAACCGAAACCCAGAGAACTGAACACAAAATTCATATCGATATCTGTTCGTATACACTCTGTGTTTGTTGAGCAATTCTAATGAAAATGGATTTCACCTTCCTCTTCCTTGTAGAAATGATTACTTGGACCTGGTCCCTTATAACAAACTTATATTCAGCATAGACTTTCTGTTCAGAAGGAATTGTTTCCCAATCAGCGAGCTGCAGAAAAACTGAGAGGTTTTTACCTTTTGCAGTTCCCAATCCTTTGGGATAAAGCTTTAATTGCCTGCATGCATGCATACATCGAGGAAAAAACTTGCATACTGTTTCTCAGCTATTCAACATTCTGTGATTGTATTCTGTGCACTTAGAATTTTTTCAACGTTTCTAGTTACTAGTTCTACTGTGTCGTGGAATTAGACATAAATAAAGACAATCGAACAGTCATTATTATTACCGCTTGTGCTCTCCAAAAACCACCTCTTCGGTGAGCAAACTTTCATTTTCAATTGCTGAAAAATTAGAAATTTTCCAAGTGAGAAGAAATTCCTTATCCATTGCTGAAAATTTACTAATTTGCCAAGTGTAACCCTTGTTCAAAGGATCCTTCATCATTGACATAGATTCGCCTTTGCCATAATATTTTATAACAAAAACCTCTGCTCCAAACACACAGCAGTCATCAAGCAGATATCCTTTGGAAGCATCAGTGAAACTATCTAAAGGAACCAATTCATCAAAACCCCATTCAGTCTTCATCCGATGAAACCGCCTAATTCCCCCTTCGACATCTACATTTATATAACAAGTGTAGATAGACACATATAGCATAACTGAAAAAATTAAGGACAATGTTGCAACTGGACTGGACTACAAAGGCAGCTATACCTTGGATGGTTAAGTATTTATCTTCAATATGGTTGTACACAAACAATTTGAAGTTGGCATTAACCTCCCAACCAAGAGGAAGGGTTTTTCTCTCTGCTATTGCCAAGTAAAGAGAAATGTGACCATTCACACCCCTTTTCATGTTTCCTTTTGGGTAAAGAGACAATTTCCTGGAACATAAAAAAAGGAAGAGAGTGCATGAATAGCAGACTCCTTAGTAGAGAATATATGGACATTATTTCAAAAAATAAATAAATAAAATAATTTATAGTGTTGGCGTGATCACATTCAAGTATCATTTGACGTGACTTTGGAAAATGTTACAACGCACGCATCATAAGAAAAGGTTGCAATTTTTATGATAAAAGTCATGAATGGCAATGTTATGATGTGCACTTCTAAAATATGAATGACAAACTAATGCTTTTTATGGTAAAATTACACTTTTGTAATAAATATTGTATATTTTTTTTTGTATATGGTGCGTACCATATGCACTTTTTTTGCCTTTCCCATTTAATTAATGCTATATGAAATGCCATGTCACAAAATATGGATAAATGACAGTCTCTAAAGTATGCGTTGTTTTTCATTTTAGTCCCTTAATTTTTAATTTTGTCATTTTGATATTCAAAGTTTTCAATTTTAGTTAATTTGGTCCTAGGTCTAATGTTTGTTTACATTAACAACAAGAATATGAATAAAAGACAGTTTTGGTCCCTAAAGTATGTGTTTTTTGTCATTTTAGTCAGTCAAGTTTTAAGTTTTATCATTTTGGTCTTAGCTCAAATTGACAATTTTGAGGATCAAAATAACAAAATTTAAAACTAGAGGGACTAAAATGACAAAAAACACATACTTTAGGGATTTAAATTGTCTTTTACTCAAGAATAAAATACTTTCCCATTTTCCATATAAACTAACGTTAGAGATAGGATTAAATTGACTAAAATTGACAATTTTGAGGATCAAAATGACAAAATTAATACTTTTGAAACTAAATGACAAACAACATATACTTTAAGGACTAAAATTGTTATTTATCCCACAAAATATTTAAATTAATCACTATAATATTGAATTTGAACCTACCATTTAAAGCCGTCAGCTTCGAATACACATAATTTTCAATCCTAGTTGACGTGTATAAGCCCATAAAGGCCACGAATCACTATGAACAATCCAAGCCCATCACTTGGAGCCCAATGCATAACCCAGCTGGTGAGGTCCAGGACAGCTGGAGTCCAACATGGCATAAAGAGCCAATGACATTCAGACACACGGCAGGTGAAGGACGGGCAACATCAGCAAACAAAAATCTGCAAAGTTATTGCCACTGTACATCACCATTAATGCAGCCCATCACAGCATTTATTATGACAACACCTCTCCGTCGGAACAGGACCCCCTTACCCTGAACAAGGTAAGCTACAGCATAGACTTTTGGCGAGGAGGGCAGGTCGGAAGGGACAGCGAAATGATTACCAAAGGATATAAGCAAACGTTGAAGATAAGAAGAAGGTTAAGCTTTTCTATCTCTAATCTCTCCTCTATACTCTACTTCTCTTCCTAACTTGCTCGTCGGAGGGTTCACTGGGGGACTACCCCGTTCACCATTGAACTTGTTTGCAGGTTACCCGGTGAGCTTGATCATTTGGACCTAGGCTTGAGGAGCTTGGACCAGTCCGATCTATTCACTGGGACAAACTGTATTATCAGTTGGCGCCGTCTGTGGGAAGTGGTTCTTATCCGGACGCCAGTTGTGCTCATTGTCGTCGGAGACCCTGTTCTAACAACCTTTTCCTCCTACCCATCCAAATGTATGGTCACGACTAGATCCATGGCTTCTCACCATAATGCTGCCGACCATCAAACCGACCTTTCCAATCCAAACAACCCACCACAGTATATCATTGAGCTTACCAACAGCATTAACCGCATGGCCGAACAAAACTAGGCCCTGATAAATGCTTTACTCCAAAGAAACCTTCTGATGCCTCCTCCACCACCTCCAGACATCCCACCCAACCAAGAAAGGGCCCCGAGCCATACTGTTCCGCAACCCTATCCACCCAACTTGGAGGGTTTGCAACCTCCTCCCTCGCATATAAATCTACCACCTCCACCCCAACACCCACACCCTTCGGTCGTGGCACTAGGCCCTAAAGGGGAAGCCAGCAGCGTCCAGCCCTCATTGACTGACCATGGTGACCACATTCCTCTCTGGGACGCTGAACTTCGAGCAATGAAGCTCCAGCTCCAAGGGTTCATGCAGAACATTCAGCATAAACCCTCTACCACGGCAAGCTCACTATTTGTTGCCTCCATCCGAGACAAACCTCTGTCCGCCAAGTTCAAGATGCCCATCATTGACTCTTTTGACGGTATGACGGACCCAGTCGACCACCTGGAGACTTACCGTACCCTCATGATCCTCCATGCCTTCCCTGACGAGATCATGTGTCGGGCTTTCCCTGTGACACTGAAGGGGTTAGCTCGACTGTGGTTCAGCCAGTTACCAACAGACTCTGTCTCCACTTTCCAGCATCTCAGCGACTCATTCCTTAGCCATTTCATTGGAGCCCAACGCCAATGCTGCCCTGTAACCCAACTCCTCAACATCCGTCAGACCGAGGGGGAGTCGCTGCGCAGTTTCGTTACCCGCTTCAACACCGAAGCCCTACAGGTAGCGGAAAACGATGACAAGGTCATCCTCACAGTTTTCATGGCCGCGCTACGATTGTCCGATTTCCTCTTCTCCCTCTCCAAAAACCCCTCGACCTCCATGGCCGCCCTACTCTCCAAAGCCCAGAAATACATGAATGCCGAAGATTCACTAGTCGCTCGGCAAGATCCAATATCTAAAAATCCGACCCCTAGAGAAAAGAGAAAAGACTCAGAACCCAGAAACACCCAGTATAACAGCCAAACACCCCACTATACCGACCGACCTCCTCGCGCTGACCGGTCGGCACCAGCCCGACCGCCCGGTCGGTTCGAGCGATACACGTCCCTTAATTTTCCCATGGAACAAGTCCTCCACCAGATCCAACGGGACTACCCCTTCAAATGACCCCTACCCTCACGGACTCCTTCTAACCGGAAAGACCAGTCCAAATATTGTTGTTTCCACCAGGACTATGGCCACAACACTGATGACTGCATCAACCTCAAGGATCAAGACGAGACCCTCATTCGTCAAGGGCGTCTCAGCCGGTTCACGGACACCCGCCCACAGCAGAGGCAAAGAACCGAGCCCTTCAGAAATAACCGCCGGCGTACCCCACCCCGGCAGCCAGCCCAACCTAACCAAGGCCATGATCGCCCCCCACAACAGCCTCAGCCACCAGGTAATCCCCCTCCGCCAGTTGGTGAAATCCGAGTCATTTCAGGTGGCCTTGCTTGTAGCGGACCATCCCGCTCCGCTCAGAGGGCAGAGCTCAGGAAGATAAGGCAAGGCTCGAACAGAGCAGTTGCCACGGTAGACCGACCCTTCAAACAACCCAAGCAGTAGACAGAGCCCATCACCTTCACGGACGCCGACTGTACAGGCATCCGTTATCCTCATGATGACCCTCTTGTCATTTTTGCCATCCTCTCCAACTATAAGGTCCGACGGGTTCTCATCGACGACAGCAGTTCTTCAGACATCATATTCCACAAATGCTTCCGCCAGCTCAAGATTGCAGAGGAAAGCCTGTCTCCCCTTCAAACCCCTTTGGTCGGTTTCACTAGCGACCGGGTGAACTCCATCTGCTCCATCGATCTCTCCTTCACCATCGGCGAATACCCATGGCAGACTACCAAGTTGGTCACTTTCCTTGTGGTTGATTGTCCTTCTGCCTACAACATCATCCTTGGCCGCACCACCCTCAATGCTTTCCAAGCCATCACTTCAACCTACCACCTCGCCATAAAGTTCCCTACCGACCTAGGCGTCGGGACAGTAAGGGGAGAGCAGACTGTAGCTAGGGAATGTTATGTCGCCTCACTCAAGAAAGTCAAGCTGAAAGAGGCCATGGTCATTGAAGGACTTGACGTCCGAGATGAGGACGAGCTGGTTAGAGGAGAACCGGTTGAGAGGCTCGTTGAGGTTCCTATCGATCCCACCAACCCTATGAAAACTGCCAAGATCGGTAGCCAACTATCTCCCCAAGCTAAGGCCGACCTTACCGCCCTTCTGATCGAGCATAATGATGTGTTTGCTTGGACCCATTCAGACATGCTGGGCATCGACCCCTCTTTCATAACTCACCGCCTCAACATCGAACCCCATTTTCAACCTTACCACCAGAAGCAGCGCATCTTTCATCTAGAGCGTAACACACATATAGCCGCAGAGGTTGACAAGCTCCTTGAGGCCCAATTCATCAAAAACGTGGATTATCCTAAATAGTTGTCAAACGTGGTCCTAGTCCGCAAGAACAATGGCAAATGACGACTCTGTGTTGATTACTCTGACCTAAACCGAGCTTGTCCCAAAGACAGCTATCCTCTTCCCCGCATAGATCTGCTGGTCGACGCCACGACCGGTTATCAAATGCTCAGCTTCATGGATGCTTTCTCTGGGTACAACCAAATCCTGATGCACCCGTCCAATCGGGAACATACATCCTTCATTACCGACTGAGGTACCTACCACTACCGCGTGATGCCATTCGGACTGAAGAATGCTGGGCCTACCTACCAACGGTTGGTCAATACCGTTTTCCATCATCAGATAGGTTGGAATATGGAAGTCTATGTCGACGACATGCTTGTCAAGAACAAACTCTCTATTGATCATCTGTCCGACCTGCGAGAGACTTTCGCCACCCTACGTAAGTACCAAATGAAGCTCAACCCAGAGAAGTGCGCCTTCGGCGTAGGATCTGGGAAGTTTCTGGGTTTTATGGTCAGTCAGCGGGGCATTGAAGCTAACCCTGAAAAGATCAAGGCCTTGATTGATATGCAGTCACCCAGAACGGTTAAGGAGGTTCAAAGGCTCACTGGCCGAGTTGCGGCTCTCAACCGCTTCATTTCCCGTGCAATAGATAAGTGCCTATCATTCTTCAAAGTTCTTCAGCAAAATTTTGAATAGACAACTGAATCTGAAGAAGCTTTTCAGCAGTTGAAGCAGTTCATGGCAAATCCCCCACTCCT